TGATCAGCTCTTTCGTTTCCTTCTAGATCTGTATGGCCTGGCACCCATCTTAAACTAATCTTTGCTTTTTTGTTTTGGATAGCTTTAGCTGCTTTAGAAAACGAGTTTAAGTTAGTCTAAATGAACCCTTTAGTAATGTTGAGAGTATTAAGGCTGCTATTGCCCGAGCGGTAGCTCTACAGGCACAACGGGCAGCTATTTCAACACAAAAAGAAGCTGAAAAAGCAGCAGCAGAAGCCGCAGCGCTTTCTCTTAGCTCTATGTGTAATGAGTGGCAAATATAATCGTTGTTGTCGAAGAAACTGCGACTTTGAATTGAGTGGCTACTTTGGGTGGGGTGGCCGGAAACTATATGCCCGAGCTTACCCCGCAACAAGAAAGCAGCTCATACCAGAACCAGAATTAAAAAATTCAAAAAAAATAAGCTCTCCAGCGGGGAATTGAACCCCGGTCTCCCGCGATCTGTCAANTGCTTGACAAGCGGAAATACTGACCACTATACTACTGAAGATTGGTAGTCGCTTATTGATGGAAATTAATTTAGTATTAGTATATTGGGCTGGGTATATTTTTCTATAGGACTAAGTATTGAGCGGGGTCAAGGCACCCATGTCTGATCTTTTCTCCACGTTAGCAATCCAATCCCAACTCTCGTATTCCGGGACCCGACGACGAGGCGACATCGAGCTAGGCAAGGATTGTGGGCCGAACTTTATTTCCAGTGAGAGACGCTAACTATATACCTGCAAGGAAAGGAGAAGATGTGGTAAACTCCAGGTAACAAACATCTAACAACTAAGGAGAACCAGAAATAAGAGCAAAGAGAAGTAAGGATCTAGAAGGGGAAAACTAAGAAGGGAGCGAATAATGTCATGAGTTAGGCTCTGGGGCTTCATCTTTACAGTAGTGAGATCAACTTATCCAAACAACCGTCAGGCCGATGAGTCATGGCATGGTTTCTAAAATGCCTTTAAACCTATAGCAGATTCCGCTATCTAGGATGGAGATGTCTCCCTATCTCCATCTATCTTGCTATGCGTAATCAAAGGTCAAGATAGAGTTCCACGTGGAAGCACGGTCCTTTCGAAGGAGCTACTGCGTGATTGGGTTGTCTGGACAGTCTGTGCTGTGAGTGAGTGAGTGAGTTGTATTTAACGTCTATATATAAAGCCTCCCTTGGGGCATGTAGACGGGCTATGCCTATGACTTGCCGTACTATGCC